GTTGTGCCAAGGCGGATGGGTCTCAGGTAGGTGGGGGAAAGCGGGTTGGGGAAGGCTGGTGGGGGAAGGCTGATGGGGGAAGATGGAATGGGGCAGGACGGGATGGGGAAGGCGGATGGGGGAAGGCGGATGGGGGAAGGCGGATGTGGGAAGGCGGATGGGGTAAGGCGGATCAGGCAAGGCGGATAGGGCAGGGCAGATGGCGGAAGTAAGAGACACTCACAAGCACCTCGTTGTATGAGCAGGCGAGCATTCTTGTAGGCATGGGGGGGATGACACGCAACGGTGTGCCTGCAGTGTGTGACAATTCACGTGAACGGGAAGGGAGGGCATGGGAGGAAGAGGGATGGGGATGGGAAGGGTTGGTGGAGGGGAAGGGGGTGACATGAGGGGAGGGATGTGGGACGCGAGTGACAATGATAAGGCGGACCATGTCCTTCCTCCATCCCTTCCCTGCACCTGGTTGCCGAAACCCAAGAACTTTTGCCAATCAGTGCCGATGAGACGTAGCCCACCAGCTCACATGCACACGGGCCAAGGGCTCCCGTGTACAGCGAAGGCAGGGAGGGCAGGGAGATCACGGGATAGCAGCATACCTAGAGCAGCGAGGCGCGTGTCAAGCATGTTGCCCATCTGCGCACGCGCGCACACACACACACAGCGAAGGGGATGGGCAGGGAAAAGAGAGCATTGGAACAGGAGGTGATGGGAAGGCAAAAGATGAAATCTGAGTGGTACGGGTAGGAAGGGGGAATGGAACGGAAGTGGAGAGGGAGGTGGACGGACGTATGGCGATGAGGATGGATGGGGGAGCAGCCATGCGAGCGGTGACGTTGAAGGACGAGACAGCAAAGCATGGTGCTGAACAGCTTCACGGCGTGTTGGGTGGCATGGCAGCCGAGCCAACGGTGGAGCATGACACGGGCATACCAGGTTGAAGTGTTTGTACTGCTGATTGCCCAGCCCAAACACGGCAAAGCGCATGGGACGGCTGGGGACTGAGGTATGAAGAGAGGGGTGGTGGCAGGTTAACGGCACAGCATGAACCAGTCATGAAGGGCAACACGCACGCGCTGCACCTACCCTCTCCACCGCTGCTTACCTCTACCTCTGCAGCAGCAGCATCCACTTGAAGAAACGCTGCGCACCGTCCGTTGGCTCTCCGTCAACGTAGCTGCCCACGGAAGAAGGAGGGGAGGGGAGGAGGTGAGCAATGGGGGAAAGGAATGGGCAAGGCGGAAAGGCATGGGCAAGGGGGAAAGGCATGGGCAAGGGGGAAAGGCATGGGCAAGGGGGAAAGGCATGGGCAAGGGGGATAGGCATGGGCAAGGGGGATAGGCATGGGCAAGGGGGATAGGCATGGGCAAGGGGCGAAAGGCATGGGCAAGGCGGATAGGCATGGGCAAAGGGGGAAAGGGACGGGCAATGGGGAAAGGCATGGGCAAGGGGGGAAAGGCATGGGCTAGGGGGAAAGGCATGGGCTAGGGGGAAAGGCATGGGCTAGGGGGAAAGGCATGGGCAAGGGGGATAGGCATGGGCAAGGGGGAAAGGCATGGGCAAGGGGGAAAGGCATGGGCAAGGGGGATAGGCATGGGCAAGGGGGATAGGCATGGGCAAGGGGGATAGGCATGGGCAAGGGGGGAAAGGCATGGGCAAGGCGGATAGGCATGGGCAAAGGGGGAAAGGGACGGGCAATGGGGAAAGGCATGGGCAAGGGGGGAAAGGCATGGGCTAGGGGGAAAGGCATGGGCTAGGGGGAAAGGCATGGGCTAGGGGGAAAGGCATGGGCTAGGGGGAAAGGCATGGGCAAGGGGGAAAGGCATGGGCAAGGGGGATAGGCATGGGCAAGGGGGATAGGCATGGGCAAGGGGGATAGGCATGGGCAAGGGGCGAAAGGCATGGGCAAGGCGGATAGGCATGGGCAAAGGGGGAAAGGGACGGGCAATGGGGAAAGGCATGGGCAAGGGGGGAAAGGCATGGGCTAGGGGGAAAGGCATGGGCTAGGGGGAAAGGCATGGGCTAGGGGGAAAGGCATGGGCAAGGGGGATAGGCATGGGCAAGGGGGAAAGGCATGGGCAAGGGGGAAAGGCATGGGCAAGGGGGATAGGCATGGGCAAGGGGGATAGGCATGGGCAAGGGGGATAGGCATGGGCAAGGGGGGAAAGGCATGGGCAAGGCGGATAGGCATGGGCAAAGGGGGAAAGGGACGGGCAATGGGGAAAGGCATGGGCAAGGGGGGAAAGGCATGGGCTAGGGGGAAAGGCATGGGCTAGGGGGAAAGGCATGGGCTAGGGGGAAAGGCATGGGCTAGGGGGAAAGGCATGGGCTAGGGGGAAAGGCATGGGCAAGGGGGAAAGGCATGGGCAAGGGGGAAAGGCATGGGCAAGGGGGATAGGCATGGGCAAGGGGGATAGGCATGGGCAAGGGGGATAGGCATGGGCAAGGGGCGAAAGGCATGGGCAAGGCGGATAGGCATGGGCAAAGGGGGAAAGGGACGGGCAATGGGGAAAGGCATGGGCAAGGGGGATAGGCATGGGCAAGGGGGATAGGCATGGGCAAGGGGGATAGGCATGGGCAAGGGGGGAAAGGCATGGGCAAGGCGGATAGGCATGGGCAAAGGGGGAAAGGGACGGGCAATGGGGAAAGGCATGGGCAAGGGGGGAAAGGCATGGGCTAGGGGGAAAGGCATGGGCTAGGGGGAAAGGCATGGGCTAGGGGGAAAGGCATGGGCTAGGGGGAAAGGCATGGGCAAGGGGGATAGGCATGGGCAAGGGGGAAAGGCATGGGCAAGGGGGATAGGCATGGGCAAGGGGGATAGGCATGGGCAAGGGGGATAGGCATGGGCAAGGGGCGAAAGGCATGGGCAAGGCGGATAGGCATGGGCAAAGGGGGAAAGGGACGGGCAATGGGGAAAGGCATGGGCAAGGGGGGAAAGGCATGGGCTAGGGGGAAAGGCATGGGCTAGGGGGAAAGGCATGGGCTAGGGGGAAAGGCATGGGCAAGGGGGAAAGGCATGGGCAAGGGGGAAAGGCATGGGCAAGGGGGAAAGGCATGGGCAAGGGGGAAAGGCATGGGCTAGGGGGAAAGGCATGGGCAAGGGGGATAGGCATGGGCAAGGGGGATAGGCATGGGCAAGGGGGATAGGCATGGGCAAGGCGGATAGGCATGGGCAAGGCGGATAGGCATGGGCAAGGGGGAAAGGCATGGGCAAGGGGGAAAGGCACGGGCAAGGCAGAAAGGCATGGGCAAGGCGGAAAGGCATGGGCAAGGGGGAAATGCATGGGCAAGGGGGAAAGGGACGGGCATTGGGGAAAGGCGTGGGCAAGGGGGAAAGGCATGGGCAAGGGGGAAAGGAATGGGCAAGGCGGATAGGCATGGGCAAAGGGGGGTAGGGACGGGCAATGGGGAAAGGCATGGGCAAGGGGGGAAAGGCATGGGCAAGGGGGAAAGGCATGGGCTAGGGGGAAAGGCATGGGCAAGGGGGATAGGCATGGGCAAGGCGGATAGGCATGGGCAAGGCGGATAGGCATAGGCAAAGGGGGAAACGGACGGGCAAGGCGGAAAGGCATGGGCAAGGGGGAAAGGCATGGGCAAGGGGGAAAGGGACAGGCAAGGGGGAAAGGCATGGACAAGGGGGAACGACATGGGCAAGGCGGAAAGGAATGGGCAAGGCGGATAGGCATGGGCAAAGGGGGAAAGGGACCGGCAATGGGGAAAGGCATGGGCAAGGGGGAAAGGCATGGGCTAGGGGGAAAGGCATGGGCAAGGGGGATAGGCATGGGCAAGGCAGATAGGCATGGGCAAGGCGGATAGGCATGGGCAAGGGGGAAATGCATGGGCAAGGCGGAAAGGCATGGGCAAGGGGGAAAGGCATGGGCAAGGCGGAAAGGCATGGGCAAGGGGGAAAGGCATGGGCAAGGGGGAAAGGGACGGGCATTGGGGAAAGGCGTGGGCAAGGCGGAAAGGCATGGGCAAGGGGGAAAGGCATGGGCAAGGCGGAAAGGCATGGGCAAGGGAGAAAGGCATGGGCAAGGGGGAAAGGCATGGGCAAGGCGGAAAGGCATGGGCAAGGGGGAAAGGCATGGGCAAGGGGGAAAGGCATGGGCAAGGGGGATAGGCATGGGCAAGGGGGATAGGCATGGGCAAGGGGGGAACTGCACGCTCACCTGCTCTGCGTGCAGCATGCTTGCCGGTGCTGTTCACGCGGCCAGCAGAGCGCGCGGCGCTGCCTGGTGAGCGGGGGGGGGCGCTGAGCGGGGGGGGCGCTGAGCGGGGGGGGGCGCTGACCCGGCGGGTGGAGCGGCGCGTGGGCGCTGTGACGTTGGAGCCTGCATCAGAAAAATGGGAACGCAGCATTGAGTGGTAAACGCCGACATGCCTGGGATGTATGACGTGCAGATTGTGGTTTCTTCCCACCGCAATAAACGACCAAGGGTATTGCCCAATGTACATCGAAAACAGAGGGGGGTCAAGATCACCGTTAACGCGCGAAAACTGTGCTACAGTGACCTAGCGTGACTTGTCATAAATTTCGATTAGTTGCCCAGTACCCCCAGTTACGACCGAGAAGTATCGAGGCCTAGGTTTACATCAACCGGAATTTACTGTGACATCCCGCGCGTTAACCGTGGTTGGAGTCGATTTACCGTCACGTCAACAGCAGAGGCGAAAGAACAGGAAAGTGTTGGTTACCAGTGCGTAACACGTAACAATTTCTGTTACTTCTCTTGTATTCAGAAACTTCTTAAGTATGATTAAGATGTCTGGATTGTGCCAGCAACCTGGTAATTTGATATGTTACAAAATTCAAAACCAATATCGAATGGAACGTTATATATTGCAATTTTCAATTAAAGAATGATTCCTTTCAATTAAAATAAATAAAATTATAAATTTTTAAAATTAGCTCATAATTAGAAATCAGTACAAATGAGCGGCTAAAAGGCACTACGGGATTTAACCTACACACCTACACACTACCACACCTACACACCAACAGACTACAGAAAAACACGCTCCCATCCTTCAATCAGAATTCGCACCTTCCCAGAACCCAGCACCAAGCCCTTGGGTTCATCGTGCTTCAAGAAGGTGGGATTGTTGACCATCGCGGCGTGTAGAGCCGCCAAAACAACAGTAGTCTTGGCACGGACCAGGTTACTGCTGGTCAGCGGAACACCACCAAGAGAAGGCTGGCCATTCCCCGGCCTGTAGCTTTCAAGGGGGGCTTCAACCTGCACGCATGCACAAGAAACAGCTGTTAGTGGCTAAGCTTCAGGTAACGTTAAAATACTAAGCAAGAAACTTACCACGACACAAAGGTAAGCCACCATGGGAATCTTCACGTAGACCAGAGAGGACGTGACAACAGAGAATGCAGCCAAAGCAGCCTTCTCAAAAGCAATGTTAGCAAAGGGAATTCCTTCGCCATTAACATGCCACGCATATCCAAGTACAGCTGCACAGGAAACAACAAGTAGATTAGTGTACTGTTCAAAAACCATAAATAAAAACACTAATACCGTGCTTCTTACCGTGCCTGAATTCTTCCAGCCACTTCTCTTCCGTGCGCTTCTTAGAAGGAATGATCTGCTCCACCGCCAGCAACGGCCACTTGCTCTCATCCACCAACCCACCCGCGCCCCATGCATAGAAACGAACCTTCTTGTGGGTGTTTGAATGTTTCGTTTTGATGACCTTCATCACCAGCTTCTCGAACTCGATTCTGCCGCCAGTCGCGTAGAAATACTCGTCGCGATTCACTCCACACAGCTGGTACTTGGTGATGAGGTGAGGTTGGAAGACTTCGAATGTTGGGAAGAACTCCATGCACTCCACTGGCGCGTCTGTTATCAGCCACGTGAAAGTGTCGAGAGCCTTTACCTGCAGTCGAATAAACGGGTAAACAGCAGAAACATTATTAAAAGCAGATGACCATGGTAGGGCCGTCTAAATACCAGCACACGAATATTTAACACACGGACGGTCAAACAGCGAATGTTCCATAAGAACCAAGACTTACTGCAAACTCCTTCTTTTCGAGGCTTGTCTTCACAATCACGTTGCCATTGTTGTCCCTTGTGAGATTTGCCGGGTTGACAATTGGGCCGTCTGAAGACATCTCCGACACCCCGTCCGCCTATTGCGCCTCAAGCTCAACCAGTCGGGAACGCAGGATTTCGCACTCAGAGTCGGCGGCGGCAAGCTTCTGCTGCGCTTCAACTTGCGAAATCTGCAGGATGTCAACGGTTGCTTTAAGATCTTCAACCTGCGCCTGCAGTGCGCGATTCTGTCTGACCCAGTGCGCATTGACAGCTGCAAATAGGAACCAACGACAAGTTCAGTATGAAATAACAATCAAATAAAAACTTAACATCACAGCTGGAAAAATAGAACAGGTCAAATGTTCCAAGAATACACTCACCTTCCGACCGTGTTCCGCGGACGGCACCGTTTTGTTCGACGCCCAGCTGTTGCTGCTGCTGAGCAAGCTGCTGCTACTGAGCAAGCTGCTGCTGCTGAGCAAGCTGCTGCTGCTGAGCAAGTTGCTGCTGCTGAGCAAGCTGCTGCTGATGCTGTTCGGCACCAGCTTCGTCCTCAGAATCCTCCTCGTCATCCTCTTCCTGCTCCTCGTCCTGCTCCTCGTCTAGCCCCTCGTCCAGCTCCTTGTCGAAGGCGGAGCGGTTATCCGTCGAGAAATCCTCAGCCAGCGCGCCGGTGGTTGCGTCAGCGAGAAACTCAAGGTTGTGCTGCTGCTGTTGCTGGGAAGCAACAGGCTGCTGCTGCTGCTGCTGGGAAAAAACAGGCACCTGCTGCTGCTGGGAAGCAACAGGCTGCTGCTGCTAGGAAGCAACAGGCTGTTGCTACTGCGTTGGGAAAGCAACAAGCTGCTGCTGCTGCGTTGGGAAAGCAACAGGCTGCTGCTGCTGCGTTGGGAAAGCAACAGGCTGCTGCTGCTGCGTTGGGAAAGCAACAGGCTGCTGCTGCTGCGTTGGGAAAGCAACAGGCTGCTACTGCTGCTGCTGGAAAGCAACAGGCTGCTGCAGCTGCTGGGAAGCAACAGGCTGCTGCTGCTGCTGCTGGGAAGCAACAGGCTGCTGCTGCTGCTGCTGGGCAGCGACAGGCTGCTGCTGCTGCTGGGTAGTTGTAAAAAGCTGCTGCTGGCGAGTCGCGGGACGAGGACGGTTCGGGAGAGAGCTCGCGAGAAGCTGCTGCTGAGAACCCGCGGGCAGAGGGTTCAGGTTCGTAACGGTCTGCTGCTGCTGCTGGGAACTTGCTGGCAGAGGGAGGTCCGGGAGCCCGTCTGTGACAAGCTCCTCCTCGGTCGACGCGTGAGCAGGTAAGTCAGCTTGAGTGCCTGTAGTAGCTCCAGCCTTCCTCCTCCGCTTGCCTTTCTGCCCACCGGACTTAGCGGCGCGGGATTTTTTCTGAGGAACCGGCACACCAGAGAGGGTGTGAACACACTTGGTCTTGCCGACGCTGCTAGCAATCGTCTCACGGCGCTTGAGAGCTTGCTGGTAGAGGGCTCGGTGGTTGTTCACAAGTGCATCTGCTTCAGCTTCAGTCATTTCTGCTGCAAATGGCGATGGAAGCGTGACCCCCTCCAGCTCCTCGCCCACCCCCTGAACCCTTCTGGTCAGCCCATTCCCTGCCCGATAATTTGTTTCTTCTACTTCCTCCATCGTATACGACGATATATCATCGTATGTGAAGATAACGGCTTCATATACCAGGTGTAATGATACTTCGGAAGAATCAAAACTTGCACGAAAATGTTTTGACCGCCTATTCCTCTTCGGGAGTGAAACGTCAGCAAAAAAATCGGGCAAATATGTTGCGACCTCCGATGCTTGGTTGGCTTGCGCGAGGTCGGCTGGCCACGCCGCGTGCGGTGCGAGCATCTTGACAGCCCCACGGTCCGGAGCCATCAGATGTACATGACGGTGCACGTTTCTGCTCAAATGAATGTACGATTAGATCGCAACCGTCAGTGCGAATGCTGTCAGCTGGTTAAAGCTCGCGGCCCAAATTGCACGCGCGCCCCGCAATTTGGGCCGCGAGCTTTAAGTCGAGACCATCAGACGAGCACGACAGCAGAAATATGGCTCTCGATCAATCCACACCGTCAATATGGAATCTTCACTTATACAGCACGACAGGTAATTGGAAGTTTCGAGAGTGGGGCACCACAGCTCAGCACGGAAATGAACCACGCAACCAGGCAACCAGGTTCATTGCACAGGACTTAGCCACCTATGCAAAGCCACGCGGCAACTACCCCGCCTGTGACACCCCTCACCCTATCCAGCACAGAGGCAGCTCTATGAACGTGGCTGGATAATGATGCGTTGGTTCACCTCTGCGGTTTCCTATTAGCCAATACATCTCACTTTTGGGAGACGGTAGCGGACGGTAGCGCCCGGTAGCACTACCGTCCGCGTCAGCAAGCTGCCCGCGGGCAAAACAAATAAACCAGGGTTCCGGATGGCATGCGATTCGGGAGCCTCAACCCTAAAATTTTAGGGTTGAGGCTCCCTCGGATGGCATGCCATCCGGATGGGTTTTAGTTTTTTTCTTGCCCGCGGTCAGCTTGCTGACTCGATTGCACTGCCAGCTTCGCTGGCAGTGCAATATATATTCCACTATAGGGTGTGTCTCGCGCGCTGTTGGTAGTCGTGACGTGGCCAGGGAATGGAGTTTCCAACATAGTTATGCTATGTAATTTCCCAACCGGCGCAATGTACACTTGGTAACCTTTCGCACGAATAACCAGGTTGTACTATACTTATCAACATTATTGCCCAGCCCAAACATGATATCTTTATTCTTTTGTTGCACTTTAAGTGTGTTTTTTCAAACTTTTTAAGCAGGTAGTTAATGAACTAACCTTTTAAATTGTACGTGATCCATGTATGCCTAAATATTGGTGTTAGTCAATATACAAGTGTCACTAATACGACACATCAAACTACATTTGTGCGAGCGATGTCAAACCACTTCCTACTGCAAGGGAGTAGGAGGTAATAGAGAACTGTGTGAAGAAATACTGTTAAAAAAAACATCCAAACGAGCGTGCGGTGACATGTTGCGCGCAGGTCTGTGCTTGCACAGTTTCGGGCCACCAACTGCACAGACATGCGCCGCGTGCTGTGTACTTGTGCGAATGATCTCAATCCAGTTTCTACCGTCAAACAATATGATGTACTAGCGAACCGTGTGAAGAAATCGAGGTAAAAGTAACACTGAGACGTTGAAACAGTGACACGTTGCGCACAGGCCTACCTTTGCATAGTTGTAGGGTAGTAAACGCACATACGAGTGTCATGTGCTGCGTAGTTGTGCGAATGAGCTCAAACCAGTTCCTATGGCTACGAAATATCATGTACTAGGTAACTTTATGAAGAAATAGGGGGAAAAAGGCATCCAGACGTTGGTGCAGTGACATGTTGCGCATAGGCATATCCTCGCGCAGATTCGGGCCAGCAAACGCACAATCATGCGCCACGAGCTGTGTAGTGCAGGGTTCTCGTTATCAGACCAATTTGGTCTGATGGTCTGCGTTTAAGACTGGTTTTTTTGTATTCATCTTAATCCTAAGATTTTGTGTTTGTTCTTATTTGATCAGCAAGATTTGACTTTTAAGTTCGTATGATTTTTTCAGACGTGTAGAATTTTTTATCTGAGGATACAGATAGCGAGTTCGGTTTCGTCTGAAACCGACAACTTGACCCACTAGGCCATAGGCCCAGTTGACCAGAGGACAGGACCACCACAGGTACAGCCGATTGCTGCCTTGTAACTGCACGCGCATTCATTACGCGTGTCTTATACAGCTCTGTAACTGCCTTGTGCACCCTCGCTGGCATGTATCTGCGGCATATGCTGCCAGGCGTTTGTCGTTTGGGTGGCTGTCGGCGGCGACGCCAGCCACAGCCACGACAACGCGCTGTCCCGTTGTGCTAGCGCATTTGCTTTTCGTAGAGGGCGCGCAACACATCACTGTGGTCGTAGTGCCCCCCGCTCCCAACACGCACCGCCTTTCGGTTCTTAGTGCAGTGCACGGTGATGGGGTTTCATGCAGCTGGGTCTGGCTTGAAAACAAGCCTGTTTCTCTTGCTCGTCCTCAGCTCTCTCCCAGCCGAGCATGGATCGTTTCCCTCCCAGCGTCTGATTTCCCAGCGTGACGCTTCCCAGCGTCTAGGCTATGGCCGTCCCCGCCGGCGGACCGTGCGATGGGGAGCCCGTGATTTCCGCCCTAGACTTCCTAACGCGGGGCAAGCAGATCGCTTCTGCTGCCGCTCCGATTGCGTCGACCTCTGCTGCGATACCTTTGCCCAACTCGGAAAATGGCGATCAACACGTGCCAGCAACGACTACCCCAACAACGCTGTTATCCCCCCCGCTCCCTGACGAATGTGCAAATAAGAGCATCCCTCCAGTGTCGGTCGCTACAACCTCTCGCAGTGCTAACCCCGTCTTGCCTGACAGATCTATGAAAGGCGGTATAAACAGCGTGTTCTCACCGTCTGCCGTCCGGGCGGTCTGACTCAGCCAGCACCGTCAGTTCTTCCGCGCCCCGCGGAAGCAGAACCTGAACCCGCGAGTGAAGACTTCGAAGACCCGAAGGGCAAGCAACTGTCGGTTGAGGAGCTTCAGTTGAAGTGCAAGCAGCAGTGGCAGCGGTATTTTCCTTGGCTCCTCATCTCCGAAAACAAGGCAGGCCGCCCGTGCATGCGCTGCAGCGTCTGCATGGTCTTCGGTGACCCGAACTACAAATACGGGCGTAACGGCGATGGCGGCATCGACATCCAGAAGCAGACGATGCGCAAGCATCACCACAGTCTGAAACACGAGGCCGCAGTCTTGAGGAAGGCGGAGCGCGACGGCGTCAAGAAAGTGCAGAAGTCAATTGCTGACTTCCACCGTGGGGACGCTGATGTCAAGCGTATTGCTCGGTTGATGGCTATCGTGCTATTCATTTGGAAGTCTGATGCTCCCATTGTTCTTTTCGTGGCTTTGGTTCAATTCATGGCAGAGCAGGGGACACCGGATTTGTCTCTGAAGGAGAACGGGACGTACTACACCGAGTAAGTGTCCCGTTTTACTCATCTTTTTTTTGTTATTTGTTTAGGAGTCTAACGAGTATCAACCCGTGGTGTCTCAGGTACGGCTTCGCACAACTGGTCGAGACCATGGTGTGCTACCTCAAGTCCCGCCAGCTGAAGCACATCCGCGACAGTCCGTACCTTGGCATCCAGCTAGACGAGAGCACCGACCGACGGCGGGGGAAGCACATGATCGTCTATTTGACGTTCATGCGTGACAACGCATCCGTCACGGAGTTCTTCGCCTTGCTCAGTGTGGAGCAGTGTGACGCCGCGTCACTCACCACAGTGCTCCTGATGCATCTGGAGAGTACCGGCATCGACCTACAGCGCCTCACCGGTATGAGCACTGATGGTGCTTCCGTCATGCTTGGACAGCACAACGGAGTCACCAAGCGCCTGAAAGTCAAGGTTCCTCACCTTGTGTCGTCTCACTGCATCGCGCATAGGTAAGCATTGTTACTGCGCGTTTCCTGCCTACTTTTTTTAAAAACACCCGTGCTAATGTTACCATCTGCTGTCTTGCAGGGAGGCCTTGGCGGCCAAGGATGCTGCCGCCAAGCATCCTTACTTCAGTGTCATGGACAAGGTGGTCCGCGCCGTGGCTGAGAACCTCGGTCGTTCCTGTGTTAACCACGCCCGGTTTCAAGAGCTTCAGGAGGTCATTTGCGAGACCCATCTTGAAGTTCAAGGCATCAAGGACGTCAGATGGTTGTTGCGTGGTGACGCCATCCAGCGCCTGGTGAAGGTTTTTCCTGCTGCAGTCATGGTGTTGCACGAAACAAACAAGAAGATGTATCAAGTCGTAACGAGCTATAAGTTCCATTTCCTGTTGTTCTTCCTTTCTGACGTCTTGAAGGAGCTCAACCTGCTAAGCTTGAAGTTTCAGCGGCGTCAGGTAAGCAGTTTCCCGAGTTACACGTGGCCGGTTTTTTCATTTACAATCTCTTACTAACCATCCTGCTTGTGCACCCCCGTTTACAGGTTGAGGCAACCCATGTGCTGCCGATGGTGCACAACACGACCTTACTGCTGCGCACACGCTACCTCGACTGCGACGACGCGATGTTTGGCCAGGGGGGAGACGCGTTGGGCCCGTTCCTCGACAAGCACGCATCTGGGGAGTTCCGCGAGGTCCTCGTTGCTGGCACTGCTTCCGACGGCACATCGGTCAGCCATCGATACCGACTGCACGAGGAGAAAATCAAGGGGCAGACGAGCGGTGTGGACCACCAAGCGTGTTTGGTGCTGGCGCGCGAGTTCATCACGACCCTGGTCGGCCGGCTCGACTACCGCCTCAAGGACCTGTCAAACCTCGACGGGGCGAAGCTGTTCAAGCAGTCATCCTATCCCAAGAACCAGGCAAAGCGTGAGCGACGGCTAGGCCAATGGCTCCAGTCTCTGCGCAACATGTTCAAGCGGAAGCCAGATGACCCTGACACTATACCAGGTGCGTTAAATGCCGGGAATGAGCTGTATGTTTAGCGTTGTCTCCACATGCTTGTCTAAACACTACATCACCAATTCCAATGTTCCCATGTGCACCCCAACCGCAGGCATCAACTGGGCGAGAGCGC